GCGAGCCCGTCCTCGGCGCTGCCGCCGCTCACATCCAACGGGGCGGGGCAGCACATGCCTTACTGGTACAGCTGAGCTACTGTCAACAGGTCACCGTCATGCCATTGTCACCTGTGTGACACGCCTAACTACCGTCAGCAGGGTGGGCAGCGACTCGCGCTTGGACTCGTGTATACACAGCGGGTGGGGCTACGATGCAGCGCTAGGACTAAGCACGGAACTGGCAGAGCCACATGTACACGGACACCAGAGCCCCGGACGCAGCACCGAAAGGAAGGGCCGTCAGAGGCGCGGCGGACAGATCCTTAGGTGGCTAGACACAGCGGGACTGCAGGGAGGGGCCAGGGCTCCGCCCGGCATGCAGGAGGCGGAGAGAGTCGGGCGGCTAGGCCTGTCGGACAGAAAGGAGAGAGACCCAGATGAGACCGCGGCGCAGGGCAGGGCCCCCGGCGGGCTTGCTCTACAGTATTTCTAGGTCCGGCTGCGGCAGTTTGGGCTGGGCGGGGTCACCCCTGCCTGCGTCTACCTGCCCGGCATGAGGGGCTGGGCCAACAGAGGGTCCCAAGATCCTGCACCCCAACAGGCACCACGTCCGATGCCGGCCGGAGCGCGGGCTGGCTGGGGGGATCGCCGTAACGCTAGGGTCAAAGGCCTTCCAGGAGCTGCACCTCGAGCAGGCTCTGCGAGGAAAACGTCCCCAGGGCCCGAGCAAGGCCCCGGGGAGGCTCCCGCGGCCCGAGCGGCGACAGTCCTCCCTGAAAGCAGGTGAGGTGCCGCCGTCCAAACGAGTACCGTCTCGATGTGGTCAGAGCGCTCGGAACCGCGCTCACGTCCACGGCACGTCCGAAACATGCAGGTGGCAGTCCGGAGCAGAGCGGCTCTCCACAGGCAGCAGCCTGGGCCCTGCCAGATCGGGGCGCACCGGACGAGGGGCCCTGCGCCACCCACTCGGACTCACCATGGGACGCTGAGCGAGTCATTTAACCAGCCCGAGCTTCATTTTTCTCATCTTTAAAATGGAAAATAGAACTGGTTACCAACGCCTCAAGACTGTCGGGAGGACAAGAAGACACAAGTGCTCGCTGCTCGGAGAAAGGCGGAGGCGTGGCACGACTCCGAGGGCAGGGCTGGCCGTGCTGTGCAGGCGTGGCTGGGACACCACGGCGGCACGGAAGGCTCGCCCTCGGACCAGGCGCCTCGTGCCACACCCTCAGGGCCCAGGCCTGAGTCCTCGGCCAGATCTGGGCCAGCGCCTCTTTCCCGTGACCCCCAAGAAGTTGCCAGGGGGAGACAGGCAGGCGGGAGGCGCCCCCCTGCACCCGGGCATGGGCGTGGATTCCCTGCGGGTGGGAGAGGTCGGGAGGCTTCCCTTCTCCCTGACACTTGCAGAAGCTGTCTACACCCCACGCTGCCGTGAGAAGTGAGCTCTGAGCAGAGGCCGACCAGTACACGAGGGGGTTACTGCGGTGGACGGCAGATGTCAGGTTTGGGCTTTGTCATCTATTTAGTTTTGGTATGATCTAGCCCTCGGAGTGTAACTGCTTCAAGATGAAAAGCCATCCGTTTCTAACACCGGGCTCCACTCCCAGAGAATCCGGCTGAGGACCGCGTCAAAGAGCCGTGGGAGCAGTGGCCTGGGGGCCGTGTGCCGGCAGCTGCTCGGGCTGGGGCTCCTTCCCACAGAGACTCAGGGACGGGGACACGGGAGACAGCCCGCGGGCACACGGTAAGTGGGAGCCACATGGACGGGGTGCAGAGGGGCCACCTTATCCAGACAAGGCTTCGTGTCGCCCCACGTCTGCATTTTCCAGAAGCGGAAGAGCTAGCCCAGGCTGTGGCAGTGACCGTCGGCTCTGCACACCCCGCACAGCAGGGACTGGGAGAGCCCCACTGCGAGTGCTCCCCTAACCAGTGTCCTCCCTGTGCAATGATCTGCGTGTCACGGCTAGCGCAAGGCCGCGTGCTGGGGCACCGTCAGCACCCAACTCTCTTCTCTGGACCACAGGAAGGGGCGGCGCTCGGGCCACGGGCAGCTGCAAACCCTGCCGACCCTGCTCTGGCCGCTGTGCCCTCTGGTGACTGTGAACACCTGCAGCGCTGTCCGTGTGGTTAGGTCGGGCTGGACGCTGCCCAGCCCAGGCCCCCTGTCCCGCTGCAGGCAGTCAGGGCTGCTCCCAGGCACTGAGCTGTCTCCGCACCCTAGTGGTTCGCAACGCCGAGGAAGCCCTGGAAAAGCTGAGCTCTTACACCAACCCGGAGCAGACCGCACTCTGAACAGCACCTCCTCATTCACAGGTTCTTACAACCAAGTAACGCCTACCAGCGGAGCGGCCGTCTGCAGACCCAGCCTCCAATCTGAAGTTCTGGACGGCAGGTGCAGCTGTCACCTTCCCTTGGGGCCGACTGCTGTCTACTTGGGCTTGGTCACATAACGTTTAGAGAAACCCGATGCAGACAAATGAGCTGCGGAGGAAACAGCCTCGAACATGGCTGCCAACTCGGGGAGCCCTTCCGAGCCAGCCCCCTCCTGACCCTGGGCAGGGCAGGGGGAAGACCGACTGCACGCTGGCAGCACCTGGACCAAAGCTGTCGCCTCCAGCGGGCTCCTTCACCACGGCAGTCACTACCGCGAAGTTCCTTAGAAACAAACTCGACCGTGCCTGCTACCGTCACAGTCCTCGCTGTGAAAACCAAACTCACATCAGAAGCTGGCCGAGCCCGGCACTGCCTGGTCGGAGCTGCGAGACCCCGCCGTGCAGAGCAGGCCCGAGGGGCCTCGCGGCCCTGGGCGGTGGCTGGCTCTCCCTCAGACTGCATCTGGAGAGAGGGCGCCTGCTCCCAGGGTGGGAAGAGCAGGGGCTCCGACCGGACAGCCGCCCACGGCCCACACTGGGTGGGTCTCGCCGCGATGCAGGCAGCAGGGGCGCAAAGTCAAGGCCGCGGCTCTGGGAAAGGAACTCCCTGGCCACAGCGGCATGTCCCCGAGAGTTGCAGGGCAGGGGCGGCTCCCCCACTGCAGGTGTGCAGCCCAGGCCTGCCCAGAAGCTGGCCCTTCCTCGCACCTCAGTGCCTTTACATACAAGCGCATAGAAACGGGGACCTAGAAATACTGTCTCAAGAGAAAGTTCCTCCAGAACTTTGATCTAGAGTCCGCAAATCTGCACCCTGGCTTCTACGACCGGATGGGGAGTGAAGGGACCGCCCTCCCACAGAGCATGCAGGGGCAGCACCCGCGACCTCGGTGACCCAGGCTGGCAGGCCGCTGGGCCCCAGGGCGGCAGCC